ATTTCACATGCAACAACTTAACCTGTGAAATAAGTTAACCACAAAACACAAGCCATAAAAACTCCAACTTGCACTGCCTTGTTGCTATGAAAACTTTTCACTGAATACCAGTGCATTATTGCAATAATGATTACATACCTGAACACATAATAAGTCTGGATGCATGGACCAGGTTTGCACTCTGCTAAAAAAAAAAAGAAAAAAGGCAACACTTTGTGTTAAATATTACTACCTGCAATGCTAACTCATCTTTAATGTTTACTTTGAATGGGTACTCTTTTTGTCAATACTGCTACTGACCTTGGGACACATTTTCAGAACATCTATCATCCACACTGCACTGGAATTGATCCTGTATAACCACACATGTGCAACATAGTCTCTCTTTTCTCCCCTATAAAATGATGATAATATTTTAAACGCCTGGAAAAATTTTCACCTCTATATCAAATTACAGAATTTTCATTGTCCCTGGATGCAATCACAAAACCTACCTGTATCTGGATATTTACAAGGTAAGCTGAAGTAAGTAACCATTTCTGGTGTTGCTCAACATATATTAGTATTCAATTAAAATTATTATTTTGCCTCTGTGTATGTGTGCATTCACTTGGTGGCACAAACGGGTTAAAACTTTAGTCCAAGAACTTAGTTTCTTCACTTTTCATTTCTTGTCTGGGCTTTTCTATTCAGATATTGGGCAGTTATTCCAGTTTGTTACCGTTTTAATAACAACACAAGCAAAAATCAAGAAAACAAAGAAAAAAAAAACAAAATTTTCCAATTATATACTTTTGGAAAAATAAGATATACCATTCAAAAAAGCAGAAAACCAGAGCAGATTGACCATAAATTTTACCAAGAACATGTGTGTCATTCATGCAACATATAGTCATACCCACGTTCATCTGAAGTTTCTGTAAGATTTCATTTTTATAATCCATTGCCTATATTTTAGAATTTTGTCTGAGGAAGGAGAATCTTCTGCTGATGGCTGTTTGTTTCAGAAGCAAACTAGTGAGGAAAAAAAAAAAAAAGAAAGAAAAAATATTTCCTTAAAGCAGCAGTTCTTAAATTTAGGTATCAGTCTTTTTAAAACCAAACATCATTTTAATTACATCTGTAAGGGCATCAGTTGGATTTGAGGGTGGAGCTCAGAAATAAGGCAGAAATGCTATCCAAACCAACCAAAAAATATTCTTCAAAAAGAATTTCATGGCTATCATTATGTATATGACAAAGGGCATAGAGATGCTGCTAAAGGATATAAATGCTGCTAAAACAAATTCTAAATCTAAATCTCAATCTTTTCTTCTTACAATCAACAATCTAGAGCCTTTTCATGAGTCAGGATGCCACTGAGTGAAGAATCTACTGTCTCACTAAGGCAGAATCTTCTGTTTGACTTGATGCCACCTAAAATAGCTGCAGAAAGATGGATAGAATAATTTAGTGATTTGTGAATGGTGCAGCATTGGGTATTGCATCAAATTAAAAAAAGTTTAGTAGTTCCATATCCTGAAATTACACGTCAAGAATAGTCTTCCTGGAAATAGAGCCCATAAAACACTGCAAATCAGATGTCAAATAAGAAATCAATGCAAACAAAATTCAGGATCTTATCAAACAAATAGAAGACAGTTGCAAATATTAAACAGCAAATAGCTACCGGGTTTGTTATTTCAGAGGTCATTGATTCTTTTCTTATAATCAGATTTGCCATTTTTAATAAATGGAGAATCACATGAATGCCTAAGGCCTTACTTTTTGGACCTAAAGCACCTGATGCTACATTAGAGAAAACAGAATGTTTCAACATACACTGAAGGGTTCCAGTATCTTGATCAAGGCCTGGAAACTGTCAAACAGTAATTCTCGGGCAAGTTGTATGTTGTATGTCAATTACTAGCCTGGAATGAGGTCATTTGGGCATACAACAAATGATGAGTCTTTTGTTAATTGATAACTTTTGCCTTTCTTTGATCAAAATATTTTGCAATTTCAATGAACACTTAATATCTCCACAAGTTATACTCCAGGCATCAAATAGAAAAGTCCACTAGTTGAACAAAAGATAGAGTTATACTCAGCAGAGTATAAGTAAGAGACTCATTTTCAGAAGAATCTCAGATGTATGTAGTTTTTTTTTTTTAGAAAGTGAGTTAATTTAGCTTATAATCTTTTAATCCATGCAGACCATGAAGGTCATATTCTAAATATGACCTGACTATAAACAGAGGTGCTTCTATACTGGGAGTTTTGTCAGGGCATGGCACAAATACTCTTTTAGGAAGAAAATTGGGGTAGGATTCTCTGACTATTTTAGCTGCTGGAAAAGGAGATGACAAGTGAGATCAAACACAGAAAAATTATTTGTTTGTAGCAGTATACTAACATTTATATATCAGGTTTTTGTCTTTTACAGCATGAGGATTAAATTCAGGAAGGTATATGGATATCTTGTATGCACCACTACTCCACCTCCTGTATGTGTCCAACACATGCAGCCTTCAGAGGCCAAAAAGCAGTTTGTGTGAAGGTGGCTGGAAAATTCTACTGCCTCAGGCACCTGCAGGTGCTCACAGGCAGAACCTCCCAACAGAGGGAGGTCACATGTTGTTTGTTGTCAGTGCTCCTTGTAACAGCTGGAAACCATGATCCAGAAACACTCACACACTCCATTTCTGTTGTCTCAGTAGAAAGCTGTGTCCTTTGTAACACCACACAAAAGGGATCTTTACAGACGGTGTAGTCTTTTGGTTTAGAGATCAGCTGCTACCTTAATACCACAGCAGATACCTAGAACTCTGGGAAATGATCACAAACAGCTACTATGCACATGCAGTTTTTATTACACAATATTTTATTGTCCCATTATTTTATCAGGAAACCTGGCAATGCTGTGCTGCTTTCTGCAATCCTACAGGAACCCCCCCCCCCCCCACACACACACACACACAATAAAACACCAAATCAAACAAAAAAAACCCCCACAAAACTAACAAACCCCCACATCCAGAGGATTGCTGCTGACCACTACCAACAGCTACACACCACATGATTTAACCTAATAAAAACACACTAGACAATGCAAGGTATTTAACATCTACCCAGCAGGCATGAAGTTGGCTGCATGTTCAGTACTGTTTTCCTCAATATTTATTTCCTTAGCAGCATCAGATTGCTTCAGAACCAATTTTCACCGTAGAAGATAAGAGATCAATGCCATTTCAGAATAGCTCAGAACACAAAGATTATAGGATTACATCAGTTCTCTTCTTGGCAAAGACACTTTTTGCATCACTAAATACGGATTTTTCACATTGGCATCCTCGTGCTAGCATTTGAGCCCATGCATTTTGCATAATGAGTTTCTTTTTGTAATTTTATCCAGTTTTTGTCTCAATTATTTTCTTGTCCATTTTGGAGAGTATAAAGAAATTATAAGAGATATTCACACATTATATGAGAAGAGCATGGTACAAAAGCAAAGTGCAAGAAAAAATATTGGTCAGTGTAGATCGAAGTCATAAGAATTATCTTATGAAAAAAAGTTATAAAAAAACTATCTTACAAATATTTCCCACAAAACAGATCCCACAGAAGAAAAGGAAGTAATATTAGTTTTCATTTGTCTTGAAAGTCCTCAACTCAAGCACATAGCTTAAGACACGAGGTACCTCTCCAGGTTTCAACTACATGCCAAATCTCCTGAGAAAACATATTCTGGATGCTAATTTTATTTACCTTGAAAACTGACACTGCCAAGTATGTAAAACCATGAAATAATTACTTAATTTAGAGTCTCTTTGGAAAACATGTGTCATGTGTATTATATGCATTAACATATGGAGGTGGTCTCAAAAGTTATCTCATTATAAAGAAGACAATTTTTAGATTCAGCCCTGGAATCTGAAATTCTTGCTATTATACAGCAATGAGACATATCTTTGAAAAAGAAAGCTGAAGAATGCAAATATTGCTATTGTTAAAGGCTCTTTTGTCTTAATGGTAAAATAAAGGTAGTGATTATAGACTACTTGTCAAAATCTGTGATTTCATTTTTGTAAACTAATTGTTAAACACTTTCTTTTTAGAAGATCCTCAAAAAATGGTAAAAACTAGGCTTATCAGAATATTAAAAAATTGGCAGGTTCAGGGAAACCTCTAATTTATTTGGAACAAATATAAATTATTTTTGTCATTATTATGAAATTCTGCAAAATACAGCAGTATCCCAGGTATTAAGTGACTAAGTGTTGTTAAAAGGAAACATAGAAACAGACAAGAGAAAAAATCTGTAAATGGCAACAAAATGAGTAAGAACACATGATTCCTTTCCTACTTTGTAACACATTAATAATTTCTGGACCAGTTCATATTAGTTTTATCAGCTCTGACCTCCAGCTTCTCATCCAGTCCCCCTCTGCAGGCCGCCCACAGCCCAAGAACAACATGAAGGCAACAACACACCAAAAGTCCTCACTGCCAAGTGGCAAGAACAGCTAAAGGCACGAGTGTGGTTATTGGTGGGCACCCCTCTTTGTACAGCACCAGGTATCGTGCTGGAGCAGCACAAACCAGTCAAAAGAAGCCCCAAAGCAAAGGGCACAAGTAAAGCCAGACCAGCTAGAGGACCTCAGCTTGGTTTAGCACTAGCTTTGTCTTCAGAGCTTGCAAAAATTGTGGAGAGTCTGTTCTCCAGCTGTATGGCCTGTAGCAGACTTTGACCTGTCATGAAGGAGCAGTCAGAAACTTTCACAGGCACTTCATTCCATCACTGTAATTCCTCTTCAACATCAATTAGCAAAAAACTCTGTATGCTGTCTTCAGGGCACTAGAAGGCAAGAGCACACTGGCTCATTGTTTCAGCTTTGACCAGCAGAGTAAAATGTAGTTGATTGATCACCCGAGAGGAACCGATGCTAAGAAAAAAGTATTCATCAGCAATTTACCTCCACACAGGCATGCAATTTCAACAGGTACAATTTCAGTCCACATTGAGACATAGGAGGAGTTTATTCTCAAAGTGTGTAATAATACATTGATTTTGTCATTACAAAATCCTGTGTGTAATTTGCACATGGTCTAGTTCCTGCTGTGGTTATACAGATTAATGCTTTTGGTACAGTTTGCTAAAAAATAATTCAGAGCACCTCCTTCTTACAAACTACTTTAAATGCTTACCAAGAAGGAATGAAATTATCAGAGATTTTTGTGTGGTCTTACAGAGGCAGTCATCACCAAAAGAAAAAAAAATAATTGTGCCAAGAAGAAGGATTATCACTGGTATTTTTCAGAAATAAAGAAAAAGAAACCTGAAAACCTTACAAACACTTGAGACTTCCCAGTTACTTGGAAAATGCTATGGCGTGTAAGCTGACCACTTCATGACAGGCATTGCTGTTGTTATTACCATAAGTTAGTTTTTATGGCACTGTGGCAATAGAATAGTTTCATCTGAGCAGATAAGGCACTAAAATACAAGAATTAAAGACTTGCATTTCAAAGATTAACATGATGTTCACAAGCCCTAAAAAAGTAGAGCAACTAGGGCTATTACTGCATCTTTTTTAATAAAACAATAGCAGCTAGTTTAACGAATTGCTGGGCTGACATCAAAATATTTGATTTTAAAATATGTCTCAGCCTACATAGATTGAAAACTTTCGGAAGTAAACTCTTGAAATTCCTTTCATTCTGATCCAGCATTTGGTCTCCTCTTCAGTTTAATCCAGATGCCTTTATTTGGACGAAGAATCAATTCTCCACATAAACCAAGCTCTTCTGGCTTTTGACATGATTCCACCCAAAAGCGCCGCAGGATGAGGGCTAGAAGAGTTTTCTCCTCCATTAGTGCAAAGCGCTGACCTATGAGTTACAGGACAGAAAAAAAAAAAGTTATTGTCAGGTTGCATCAACAGTCAACCCTTTATATGGAGATACTATAAAATACAGCCTTGTCATGTCTCTTGAAAGGACTAGGCAGGAGGGACGGATAGCAGACCAGAGCAGAAGATGCAGCACAGGGACTGCGAGGAGAGAAAAATCCTATGGTTCCATATATGTGGAGAGGAGCAAAGGAGATGCAACTGCAATGGAATGACAGACAGACTTTCCTTCAGTGATCATTAAGCCTCATACACACTGATGATTTGGTAGCACAGAGGGCAAAGTTCCATTTACAATTCAGAGATAGGTGAAGGCAGAAACATGAGAACAAAGAAATGTGAGGGAAACCAAATCAAATGCCACAAGGCAGTTGACAAAAACTAAAAATTGGAGATGGGACACAAAATGCAGGGCTGAGAACTTTTTATGTTCTCCCCTCTGTATTATATACATAGATTATATATTGATTATATACACAGAAGTTAGTACACATGTACACACAATGCACTTTTGCAATTATACTAATGAACCACCTCTCCTGCACATGTTCCTGCACACTCAGGATCTAGCTAGACATGTTATATTAAATTAGATTTCTCTTTGGAACAAGGAAAGACCTAGTTTACTTCTCTTATGGAAAAAGGCACCTACTACCAATGAGACAAATCAAAACTAACCAATTGCATCTCCCAAAAACAGAAACCAAACAAGCAAAACCAAAAAAACAAAAGGAAGTAATATTTCCCATTATCATAATGGCATGACAACTTTTGGATGTTCCCCATCTGCACTTAAAATCAGTGCAGGGAACAGTCTTTTCACATGTTCTACAATATAAAGAACACTGTCTCTACTTGAAGCACAGCAATGCCAAGCATCTCAGTGGCATCTGAAAGTGCTAATGAGTTCTGGGATGACAGAGAAAACACCAAACCAACTACAGTGTCAGAAATAGGGAAAGAATACATCAGCTGCAGATTTCATGCTTTGGACATTCAGCTCAGAACCTGAGAGAGACATATGAACAGTTTCCAGAGCAAAACAGGTGCAGGACTTGTGTCTTCTCTCATTCTGTGTTGCTGACACTGAGGATCAGAAATTAGGAAGCAATCATGTCCTAACACAGGAGCCAAATAACACGCTGCCAGGCTGCACAGCAGTGAGGAAGAAACATCAGCATGATAGACACTCTTCCCGAGGAATAAAGGAAATCCTTTGGAAGAAACAAATGGGGCAGCTCAACAGTATCAATGTGAGTCTATGAATTAAACTCTTCTGAGAGAATTCAGGTCCATCTAATGGAAGTGTGTGGCTTGCAGGGCACACAGTGCCCAGACTCAGGGATGGGGAGTGAGGAAGAACACTATACAAACGGTACTCATTGCTGTCTCAGTTACCACGTTCAAAACAGAACCTTACAAGGGCTTCCCCTCCAGATACATACCAATGCAGTTCCTGGGACCAGCTGAGAAGGGCACATAAGCATATGGGTGCCTTCCCTTAGAATTTTCAGGGAAGAATCGCTCAGGCCTGAACTCCTCCGGGTCAGGGAAGACCTCAGGGTCTCTATGCAGGGCATAAGTTAAAACAACAACACTAGCACCTCTTGGTACCTGATAGCCCCCTAAAGAGAGGAGAGAAAGAGAGAAGAATCAAAACAACAGCAAACAAGTGACTTCCTATACACAACAGAACAGTAAAAAATAAAACAATGCTGTCCTTTTCTTGGGAAACATCTCCACTGCAGAAATAAATGCTAACACAAGAGAAAGTGGCAAACACAGAACACCACTTACTAATGCAGCAATCCTCTCTCAAGGTGCGGGCAAATATGGGAACTGAAGGGTAGAGACGAAGAGCTTCTTTCACAACACATTCGAGGTATCGAAGATTCTTCAAATCCTCCATTGTAACAGCACGTTCAGTATTGTCTGTCCAAAAACAAATAGAGGGATGACCAAGACCAAAACTCCCCATCTTTGGCTGAACAAACTCATCCTGGATCCCTCCAGAAACTCTCATCATGCACCAAGACTACGTACAAGAAGGGGTTACAAATATATTAAACATGCATATCTTGCCCCAAAGACATAAGTTTGGTTGTACAACCCAACAGACCTTCCCACACCCATCCCAAGCACCTCTAGCTGCTGAAAGCTCCAGAAGGGCCACAAGGCGTGCTCTTAAACCCCCTTCTACTTCTAGGCTTTTAACATATTTCCACTCACAAATGGAGCAAAACCCTGATGAAGGGGGAATGGACTTACCAAACACCTCATCCAATTCCTTGTGAACCTTCTTCTGAACTTCTGGATTATGTCCAAGCAAGTACAAGACCCAGTTCATAGCAGCTGCTGTTGTATCATGGCCCTACAGGTCCAGATTTACAAAGACATTCATTTCAACTCTATTTCCATGTACCAGTGGGGTTTGGAAATACTTAGATGTGCAGTTAGTATGGAAAGTGAGATTTATTAGTCCCACCACCAAGATAAAAACAAGAATCAAGAGTGAATTATTCAACTCACTAACTATCAAGATAAAAGGTGATCCACAATCGTTCTGACAAAAGGGGAAAGTATTGAAATAACCCAAGCAAAATTCCTCTCTTCTGATTCCTAGGAGCTGCATGAACTATCAGTATCTACACAATTAATCAGATTTATATTCATCTTTTTGGTTACTGTCCAGTCAACATCGAGGGGGGCCAGTGACTGTCACAGGAGAGATACAATGGACACAATTTGTAACCTTTTCAAAAGTATCTAAAAATTATTTTATGAGACACAATACAGTAGTCATAGGGGAAAAAGCTTGGTCTTCTATGGGAAGGGAATCAACTACTAGCTCCTAGCACTGTGGAAAGGAGAGGAAAAGAAAGGAGAGACAATACATGAACCAAAGAAGGAAAAATAAAGCCATAAAAAAGGGAGGAACAGAAAAGGGAAAAGTTGACCAAAAAAGGATTTTGATACTAAAAAAGCACACTTGTAGTGTACTTCAGGGCAAGATGAGAAGATAATTCCTCTAGGTTACAACAGCATTAATATGATTCTATGAATTAAGCTCTTCTGAGAGAATTCAGGTCCATCTAATGGAAGTGTGCGGGAAATTTGTGAAAATCTTCTTCAGATCCTCCCTTAGGGAATCAGACAAGAAAGGTCTTTGAGATAATCAGATGGATGGGACACGTCTCCTATGAAGACAGGCTGAGAGAGTTGGGGATAGAGAAGAGAAGGCTCTGGGAACACCTGATTGTGACGTTTCAGCACCTAGAGAGGACTTACAAAAAAAAAAAAAAAAAAAAGAGGGTGTGAGACATTTTACATGAGCAGGTACTTATAGGACAAGAGAGAATAATTTTCAACTAAAAGAGAAAGTTTAGATTAGATATTAGGAAGAAATTTTTTACTCAGAGATTAGTGAAAAACACGTTGGCTAGAGAAGTTTTGAATGTCCTGTCTCTCAAGGTTTCAGTAACAGGTGGGATGGGGCCCTGGCAACCCAATCTAGTTGATGACATCCCTGCCCATGGCAGGAGGATTGTAACTAGATGATCTTTAAGGTCCCTTCCAACTCAAGCCATTCTAGGACAAGTTTCTACAAGATGAAGCACTGATGCACAGTGGACTACAGAACCAGAAGACTGCAGGCAGTGTAGCAAGGGAAAAAATGTGAGGAGACATGACAAAATGCAAGTCAAAACAGTGACTTCTTTAATGTTAATGAAGTTTGCAACAAAAGGCAAGAGTCTATGGTCCATGTCAGCCTTTAAGTTTTCATTTCTCACCTGCTTTCATGAGTAGACCCTGCTCACACAGGCAGGGCCTACCACATCTGCATTGTCCAAAGTTTTTCCAGGGCATACTAATGCTTCTATCCTACCTCTGTAGAATAGAAACATTGATCTTTTCTCTTAGGCTTCTAGGGCTTAAATAACATCATGCTAAAAGCAATCTCCTGAACTAAGACATGAATCACCACCTGAAAATTCTGAATCTTTAGTTTTGAGGGAAAAAATCAAACAAAAAAACCCAGCAAATAAAACCTTCCAAAACAACAACAACAACAGAACAATAAACCAATAAATTTCTTGGTTACCTCAAACATGAAAGTATCCACTTCCTCACGAATGTCCCTGTAGCTCAATTTTTGCCCTTCATCATCTGTTGCATTCAGCAGCATGTCCAGGAATGCTTTTCTCTTTTTGGAACCACCTTCCACAGAGTTACCATCATTATCATGTTTCTTTTGCTGGGTGTTTTTAAGTTCTTCAGCTTTTTCTGCAATGACCTGAGATTAGAACCATTACATCAGATATGATGAATTCAGCACAAGCTGTCTGCCTCATACAGTTTTGTCCTAACTTATCAAAACAGTATCCATCTGTAGCAGTCTACATGAGCTAGTTAGCACAGCTGTCAGCATTAGGTCACGAAATTTAACTTAATCTTTATTAGTATTGAATTATGACCAAACTTTCTTGCCCCAAGCAATAGAATATGCCTTGAACAGCCTTTGTGAGATCAAGAAAATAGATAGCCAAACTACGTAAACAACTTGGGGGCCATCAAGAAGTGTAAACATATCCAGAGTATCTAGAATACACCAATAATGAATGCCAACTATGGTAACAGCATATAAAAAAAATCACCACAGTGTGATCATATTAATCACCAATAAGATCTTCTCTATCCTATCTGAGAACTAAGGAAAGATCTCACTACCAACCTCCAAAAAACTCAGGAAACTGAAGAGAAGCCAGGGCATCCCAGAACTATGTGTCAAGGCTACACACAGTGTTGCTGAACCCACTTCCCAAAAAAAAAAGCTTCCCAAATTTTCTCCAGTACGAGAGCAATATCTGAATTTCCCTTTTTCAGGTCAAAGTACAGACCCAGTAACAGACATAAATTTCTTATTGTTGCCATTGTTGTTGCAAAGTCAAAGCAGAACCCTTCAATAAACTGGCATTGCTCTTAAAAACAACAAAGTAATTTAAACAGTGTGTTGAGTATGCATTTCTCTTTGGAGGAATCACTGAATGGAAGAAAAAAAAAATACAGGGCCATGCACATACACTGTTTTCCTCACTGAACATGCACGTGTGTCTTATATTGTCTCATCCTTCACCTCAGTGCTTGCTGTCAGCACCTACACAGGTACAATTATTATTTATGGTCCTTTGTCATCTTCTATGATTTGGTTGCTTATATTCTTCAGTGCACCAGCCCAGCATGGGAAGAGTGCAAGTGTTAAGAGCCTCTCCAATGACTCACTGCTGCAATTTCCAATAAGAGGAAGCAAGAAAAAAGTAACACAGAGGCAATGTGGCTCATTATACATAGCCAAAGATCAGAGATTATTTCCTTTGTCAAAGACATTGATACAATGACATCATGGGGTATGTGCATAGGAAAAGCAGCCTCCTTGATAACATACTAATAGTACATTTGGGAGGGCAAACTTTGGAAAGAATAACATAGGAATTATTTGGTGAGAGAAAAGGCTGTTACTTCCACAGTCTAACAAGGTGAGAGAACACTTTATTTTATGCCAAGTAAGTAATGCATGCCTAATGATTTCTGTATCAAAGTGCCTTACTGCTGATGTGGGGACCTGCATGTGTTTGCTCCTCTCAGCAGTTCTGTTCTATAAAGGGAAAATGAATACAGGCTTCAGTTTCTGAGGGCTGAACCCAGTGGCACTACCATCCAGAGCCCTATGTTTACTGCTCCAAACTTGGCAGTGAGCTGTGGACATCATCCAGATGTGGAGCTTTTCAGGCAGAACAAGAGTCCAATGAATTTCTGTTGTTTGTTTCAATTGTCAAGGACCTGCAAGTTCTAGCACTCCCTTGGTGTAATCTACTTTCCTGTTTAAATTCAGCAGAGATCCTGAAAGGGAAGTCAGTTCTTGTCTTCTTTTCAGGGAATTCCTCAGCATCCCAATAGAGAGACAGCATATCAAGGAGGCTGAACCTCATCCCCCATTTGGAAGACCTGAGTGCAAAATTTTAGTCCAACAATGAAAGTGATCATTATAAATATTATAATTTTTTTAAAGACTCTATACCGTATCTGTAAAATTGTGAAGGATGCTGAGCTTCCTCTTGTGCTCTCTTCCTTCTTTGAACAATACATACAAAAAGTCAGGCCAAAGCCAAGGGCTCATCTGTCGCCGTTGGATTAGATCACTCATCCTAGGGGCAAAACAATTATATCATGTAATATTACTTGACAAAACCACCAAATTATAGCACATTTCAAGAACAAAAAAAGAAAAAAAAACCAAAAAACAAACAAACAAAACAAACTTCTATGTACCCTAATAAAGTAGAACTTAATATATTGTGTAGATTTAAACCCATTATTTGAAAGGAAGGCCACTCACATTTGTGTCTTGATTTTACACCATCTCAAAATTTCTGTTACTTATCCCAGCATCATCATGTTTTATATCCTTAAGTATTGATCTCTTAGAAGGACAGCATATTCTCATTTAGTCTGAATCCTCTTGAAACAGTCCTATTAAGTCATCCAATCCCACCACACCCCACTTCAGCAAAGCACTGACAGTGTTATAAAGACTACTCATGGCACGCTCCCAAAATATCTGCCCCAAGAACTCAAACAGTTTCTGAGAGCATTGCATTCCTACTTGAACGTCCAGATACCAGAGCGCACATTAAAGGACTTAAAATGCATTTAAAATGAAAAATATGAGACTTCAAGTATGCTCAAACACAAGTGGAGTACATTTAGAAGGGCTGATTGTCATTGCTATTCAGCTCTCATACATGCTTTTTCTGCAGAGTAATTATTATCAACTTCAAGCACACTTGTGCTACAATTTGGAAAAGGCCAAGGAACTGATGATAATCAAACCCTTCCCATTTTTAATCATACCTGTCTCAACAAGCTCCATAAAAGTTAGGAGTGAGATCATAGAATCACAGATTCATTTAGGTTGGAAAAGACCTTTTAGATCATTGAGTCTGACTCTTAACCTAGTGTTAACCCAGTCCATGGCTACACCATGACCCTAAGTGCCATAGGAACATGCCTTTCAAACACCTCCAGGGTATTTAGTGACTCAGGGTTAATCTGTTCCAATCCTTTACATCCCTCCCTCTCTGACACCCTGGCCTTCCTTCCTGAAACCAGCAGCATTAATTCCAGCTCAACTGAAAAATAACTAAGGAAAATGTGTGTTTACCTATAGACAGCAGAAACATAGTCAGAATCCTTATTCTTCTGGGCACCCACATTCCTGCCCATTGCTGTTTCTAGGAGGAAAATATCAATATTTCACAAGTGCAAAGTGAAAGGCAGTGAACAGAGTGAGTTACTACTGCTCCCAGCTTCTGAGTATCACCACACCATCCCTTCAACAAGTGACTACACATAACCCTTTGCAGGGAATGAGCCTTCTTTGTATTTCCATGCCCAGGAATCCTGCTCCTTAAGAAAACATCACTTCAGACTGCTACCTGTGTCCTGCCAGTCCCAAAACTCAGCTGCTCAGATGCAAGTAGTGAACTCTGGGGAAAAAGGTTGGGAAGGATGGAAATGTATTTAGAAAATATGCAGGGACATTGCCCTTCAATGATCTTACACAAACTGGCACAGCTACACTCAGGATCTTCTTCATCATTCACAATTCTACCTCAATAACTGAACAGGACTTACCACAAATGATATCAAGGGCACACAGAGTGATGTCCATAAAGACATCAAATGGCTCCTTGTCAACATGCTTCTCAAGTTTCTTCACCAAAATATTTCCTTGTTCATTCATGACCTCTAGAAAGTCACTCAAGATTGCAAAGTGGAATGTGGGAGTTATCATCTTCCTCCGTGACCGCCACTTGTCTCCAGTGCTGTAAAATTAATGGGGAGAAGGAAGGCTAAAAAACTCCAAGTCAAAAATAACATCCTCACCATTCCAGGAAGTACCCAGTGAATACTGCAGCCTGGAAGAGATGGACACACTGTAGATGTCCCTTCAAGCTGTTCATAGCACCCCACGGAAGGAGCAAATGGAAATATTTCTTGCTCCAGGTCTCTTGGAAGCAGAAGCCACCATTTCTCCTGCTGATCTCAACAAATGGAGATGCCAAAAAGCCTCCAGACAGTCATCCTTGTTAGTCAGTGCACAGGCTCAGAGGGACCAAGCAGAAGCCAGCCAGAGGCCAAACCAGCTACTCAGTATCAAGGCCTCAACCACCCCCCATCTCTCTGAATCAGTGTTTTTGCTTGCCTCCGTCCCCTGACCATGAAATGAGGCCTGCAGAGAACTAGGGCCTAGAGACATTATGAAAATGACTGCCTAAAGGCACGGCTACAAGCTACTTCCTTGGAGACAGGCAGTCATTTCCCACACACCAATGACAAGCATGGAGCTGCAGTGAGTGTCACCAGCTTCCTGGGGCTCCTTGTCCTCTTTTTCTAAATAACATGTCCCAGAGGCACACAGCTGACACTTCTGCTCACAGGGTAAAAGTATCAGACCACTGCCTATGTAACTTGCTATTGGGGCACTCCACAGGCCAGCATATCAGCTTGCTGTCTGCCACTGCTGCCCCTAATCAGCAGAGACTGGAACATTCTCCTCCATTATGTTTTTGCAAGCACAAGTCAAAATAGCTCTGTACATCTATGGAAGACAAAACAACCAGTAAGGAGAACTGCGAGGATACACCATGCCTGATGCTCCTGAACTTCACCTCTGCACAGTGTTACTGATTACTTACTGCCTTCCCAAAGGCCGTGAACAAAACTCAGGATAAAATGCATGCCTCATCCTCTCCAATGAATTTGCACTTCCCACACCACATGATCACAGCTGGCTTTTACAATACCATGGTCCCATCATAAAGCATGAGAAGCCAACCTCTGAGGGCTCCAAACAAGCAACAAAGTTAAACACTAACACTGGGACCTTGACCTTTTTTCAAGCATAGAGTGTCTTTGGTACCTTTGAGAAGAGGCTCAAAGGTACCAAAGACACTCTATACTTACCTTGCTCTGACTCTTGAATATCTGCATCATCCAGACCAATCCTTCCTTTGCCCTTCCAAGACTGGAGGACACCAAACCCTTATACCGCTGCTCCTCCCTTTCTCCACTCCTGATTTATGCTCCTACCCAGGCTCATTTCTCATGATCCTCTACTTCATGAATGAAATGAAGATACTTTTCTATCCTACCCCAAAGCACCATCAACCTCAGGCCTATCCGACTGGTCTGCAATATGACCAGCTGAGATAAGCAATGCACACAATCTCTTTGTTCAGAAATACATACAGCATTCCCACCGCAAAGATCTTCTCTTATCATATACAGTGCAAATTTCAAAAAGGCAGCAGTGCACCTTCATTTCATTATACATTATACCTTGTCAGAAGTCCAGTGCCCAGCCATGGATGCAGGAATTCATACAGGTATGATTTTTCTATATGTTTTGAATTGTTCAGAATAGCCTGTCAGAAAAATGAACAGCGAGTTAAAAATATTACTTGTTAGATGTAGAGAGAGAGATTTCTTCCCTATTTCTTCAATAAACACTCCAACAGAGAAACACTGTCTTACTAGATCAAGGACTTATGACTACGTTTCATGGCATCAAAACAGACTCACTAAGTTTTAATGCAGAAGTCCATCAAAGAGACACAAGCACTGCAACCTGAATTTCATAATGTTCTGTCCTTATTTCAGTGATCCTGTATTCCCTGCTATCTGCTTATTTGTTCTGATCTTTGGAGCAGAAGCTTTCTTATATGTGAAAACAAAGCTTAAGGAGATGCTTCTTTGATGCTTTCATTTGTTGGTCGTCTTCAATATTTCCCAGTCCCCTCTGACTAGGCCTTTTTATACTCCTTTACTTTACACCTTTGTTTACCACTAACTCAGAGGTCCCCAAAGCAAATTAGTCCAAACCCTTTTGAACAAAAGTTACATTGAGGTAATAGAAAGTAAGATGTTGGGCACTGCTCTGCATCCCAGTAGAATAGACAGACCAGCACACTCACCTCCACACTGTCAGGGTGATACAAAAACGTGGCAGGTACTGGTCCTATCCAAAGTTTGAACAATGGCCAACTTCTGAACTTTTCAGTATAAATCTTTATCTGATTAAAAAAATCTGGAATAGAAAATCAGAGTAGATCTTCAAGAAGGGGGATTTACAAAATAAGCAAGGCTTCTGTAATGAACTCTTGCACCCTGAGCCCTGCAATTGTGATTATCTAGGAGTTTTAACCTGCTGCTGTGACCTAGCAGCATATTTTGCACCAGCAGATTTTACAGTTCAAGTGTCCTAATTTCTTCAGGCACAGACTCACAGCACCATTTATGCCACAGATCAACCTGAGGGACACCACTGCTGTCCAGCTGTGCCAGTTGGACTTCATACCAGTGAGCTCAGTAACCCAGCGAATACTCCTCCCCAGATCATTATGCAATTATTCAGTCCATATCTTGTCAATTCAGCTATACAGAAAGCATGGGAGATAGCTGAATCTGTTGGCAGGGTAAGAAGAGTAGATGGTGTTTGACTTAATTCAAAAAGGTCTTTGACACTATCTCATCACAGAGGACAATCAGGTTCACTCCGCAATATTAGAGGTGGGGGCCACTCTCAGGATGTTTGAGGATTGAACACTTTGCCCTTTCAGAAACAAGCTTAAACAAATGACACCTTTACAGCCTTGTGAACAGAGGCACCATGTCCCAGCATGGGTCAGCATGGGGCAATTTGCATTCCAACGCTGTACTCACTTGACTTCACCCACGACCCATTAGTCTCTCTTCTGGCAGCATGCACAGCTGCACAGCCAGCAACACGTGCACAGAGCAGAGCTGGCATACACAGGCATCCCAAACACACACAGAGGAGTGTGGGCCACCTGCAGCACACTCAGCAACACTTTCATACCACAAACTCCTTAAGAAATATGTTCCTGTTAAAATATGAGTACCAAATTGAAAGGGAACATCTAGCACATTAGTGCTCTCTCATGCACCTGGCAGAAAGAAGGTCTCATTAATCAGTTCAAGAACAAAAGGATTTGCTTTTGAGTGATGTACTATAAATGATCAGCACGTTCTTTCGCACTCAACACATAACTCTAAGTCACAGATGATTCTGGAAGTGAGCTCAGGTAAAAACAACTTGGAATGCTAAAGTCCCTTGCACATGCTTGCTTGGGGAAGGTAATTATTTCAAGCTTTGTTTGGATCACAGCAAAAAAGTCATGAGGACATAGTGTTTAACTTTGTGAAGCAGCACTTCCTGCAAGATCCCAGAGCACGCCTCCCTCACATTCCACAGCGTTCATGCTCCACCCCACCAACAACTTAACGGTCTGAGCCCAGCAGCAGCTGCTGTCAGATTTAACCTCCAGTTAGTCTTATGCCACATGTATGCAGTTCCTCTCCTTTCCTCTTCACTGCCCGCTCCTCACACTGTTCCCCTCTGCAGACTGCCCAGAGAGACCTAAAGACAACAGCACATCCTCTGATACCCCACTCCCCTTCCACAGCTCAGCCACACAAGTACGTCACCACCACTGGCTCCTCCAGCAAACCCCAGGCAGTGCAGGGACCTCACTGGCTACAGTGTGTTACCTATTACCTTCTCCTTTCCGCTCAAAGAGCAGGGCATTTCCCACCACAGGATAGCAGGGGCTGACACCCGGGATCGACTTCATCATCCGCCATTGCCTCCAGTATTCCATCAGGGAAGGCAGGGCACACACAGTCACGATTGTCAAAAGCACAGCAACAATCCCAGCTCCCCATGGCAGTAGCTGGGGTCTCCCTGAGAGTCCTTCCACGACCTCCATCATCACCTCTCAGCCTCCTGCTCTGAGCCTCAATCCCTGCTGTGAAACTGGCGCTGCCTGTACCCGGCACAGCAGAAAAGTCGGCCAGAAGAGCAGGAGGCGGGGCCACCACACAGGCTACTGGCGTAGCTTCTTGCCAGGAAAATAAACAGAGTTTAACCGAGTTCAAAAACACTCTTACGGAGAGGCTGCATTCTAGCATTTCCTGGTGACAGGCAAGCCAGAGGAAACAGTCACTGCCCTCACTTGGTTCGAGCCAAGTGAGGAGTGAGAACCTTCTTTGCAGGCCCATGCAATACCTCACAAGGAAAAAACAAAGCACCATCAAGAAAAAAAAACACCTTTTTGCTGATTTGGGATAGATGAGTTTAGTTAATATCATCTTTCTCAATCTGTTCCCAGGTGCTCAACACCATTTTGCCATAGAGAACTGCTCCAGTGCTGGCCAACACAATAACTGAAGGGTCGGATGGAGAATTCCCTTTTTCAGCTGGTTTGATGGCTTCAAGGGATTACAAAAACCAAAGCCCATAAAGATCCCTGATCAACAGCAGCACTGCAAAGCACATTGATGCTTATCCGCTCATATGGCCTTTACCGTTCTCATTGTTGAATGCTCAGACACAGGCTAAGGGTGCCAGTAAAACAACTGGCAGCACCAGCACCTGTACCCCAACTTGCAAAGCGCCCGGGTACTCACAGTACCAAACCCACCATATACACTGCTGCCCCTCCTGCCTCAGGAGGATCCAGGGTCTCTTTTCACTGCTGCAGGGCTACTGAGCATCTGTTTCTCAAAGTGGGTGCTCAGGAACCTTTTGGTGAAACAGAATTTTGGTAGAGGCAGCATGGTTCACAGCCAATTCACAAAACTTCACCCCCCCAAATAAAGCACAAATGGTATGTGCTTATGGCCATAGTCACATTTATCCTCTTTGCTTTGTACCAAAAATGACTGCAAAAGCATTTTTAGCAAATCAACAAATAGCATAAACAAAACAACTAAGAGAAAAACACAAACAGAAAGCTCAGAACATCAGAAGTTAAGTAAGTTTCTGTGACCCTTGGCATCAGAGGCGGGTAAATTTTGGCACTTTGTTCTTGCAAACTCCCAGCAGAAACTTTATCATAAATGCTGACTGTTATATCTTTCTGGACAGTAAACAGCTGGAAATGAACTTTGCTACTCTTGCTGTTATTTGTAATGGTTGTGACAGAAAGCAGCAGATATATACCCAGTCTTGCAAACACATAGGCAAGTTAGACAATCGTCAGTCCCCTCTTTTGTTCAGGTGAAAACCTAGGAAGGAAACAAGCACACAGGACAAAGAGACTCACCTTTTGTATTTTTAACATGAAGATCAGCTGAATAATTATACTCTCATATTTACAAAAAGTCTTGCAGTTTGTTGCCCTAATTGCACCAATAATTAGGTGAAGTGACTATTTGTGATTCTGAGTCAAAAATCTGTACTTCTAACTGCTGATTACTTCTTCTATAGGAAAAACACAAAAACCAAACAGCAAAAACAAAAAAAAAACCCTGTGAAACAGCAAGGAGAAGGTGGAAAGGCATTGGGAAAGCAGTAGGGAACACTGCAAAGCAAATACTGCAGCATCCTGCCAGCAACTAGCAATGGTGATGATGTTAATAAAAGGCAGCAGAAACACTGGAATGAGACATAAAAGATACATATCCAAGAAACAAGAAATGAGAGGTCTAGCATCTTTGAGGCCTAATTATGTCACCAAGACTTGGAATCATAACAAAACTTGGAGGATGTTCTGTAGGAAATGAGTTTTCTACCAGATTGTGATGAGCATTTCCTTTTTACCCTGAGAGCTATTGCTCAGTGTTGCATTTCTGTGAGCATTCCACTGGTTAGTGAATCTTTACTTTTATAAATGCTTGTAACAGTGCAAACCTGCTCTTCTTCAGCCTCTTGCCTAAGTGGAAGCCTATCTACCTGTGCTGGCAGAAGACAAGCAACCTCTTAGGCAGCTGCGTCAGCCATGAAACACGGGCTTCTGCTAGTCCCTAGAATGAAGCCTGGATTCTTCAATAATAAAAACTAAAAAAATCATCATCAACAGAAAAAAAAAAAAAAAAAAAAAAAAAAAGACCAAGACAAAGCAAAGCAAGTCTAAAGTGGATCTGATACAACAGAGGGGGGTTCCTGCTGGCTCCACTCTGGATCCACTGCAGAACACAGCTGAGCACAGCAACAAAGCTGAAGTACAAGCTGAATAGCTCAGCAGCCAAGCTGAATAGAGAAGTACACAACTCATTCTGAAAAACTGTTTTTTTCTTAAGAAAGGCTTTCTTAGCAAGAGCTTCTCTCTTTCTAACACACCATTGCAACATGATTAACCCTTATGCAGAAGGCTACTCTGAAATAAATGAGCTATTTGTAGTCCACAACAGCCATCGCCTAGACAAAGGAAACATAACACAGTATGTCTCCATTTCAAAATATGTCATCAGCTGGACAGCTGGAGAGCTCAGAGATCTCCCCAGTCCTCAGAGAGGAATTTTAGGGCCTGATACTAAATTTCATGCCCAAACAAGGCTACTAAAACTTCATACCGAAAATCTAGGCTTTCAAGAACAAATCCTGAGGAAGACTCCAGCTTCCAATCCTTCTGTGGACCCTTTCTCACACAGGTACAGGACATTAACAGCATTTGTGAGACAGAGACCACAGCTGTTTTTCAGAGAGACCGACTGGTTTGATGCCACCTCCACCAAGCATACCTTGCTTGGTTTCTGCAACCTAGTGTTCACTGTAGAGCAGCAACTGTTTAGTTCCTTCACTACGCAACATTTTGCGAGAATGAATTATCCCCAACAGAATACAAAAGCCTGCCTCCTAAGAAACCATAATCTTCCCTACCAGGACAACAACACGACTTACAATAACAGAGACCACCACTCATGCCCTAGAACTCAGACTACTGTTGCAAAGCAATTCTGATAAGGTGTCAGTTATGTTGGCATAACTAATAGACAATTAACACTAAGTAGCTACCAAAGCACCACACCCGTGTTCATTCATCAATGTTTCCAGGAAAGTGCATACTCCCAAGCTGGATGATTACAACTCCTCCAAGGTTGTTACACTCTCCAAGTGAAGATTCTGCCCATTTGTCTGTGATTTGGCTAGATTGTAGAGGGGCTCCTCCTTGGTAAACTCCAGCAGATTTAAAGAAAACATTTAACAGCATGCAACACACTACATGAAGTGAGCCAGAGGTCATGAAAAATTAATAAACAGGGCAGTTTAAGACCAGGAAAAACTTGTGGGACACAGAAGCATGGCACTGAAAATCTACTACCTGCATTCTTGCAGCATGGAAGATTTGGTATCGGTGTTTGCTCTAGGAAGTTCTTTGTCCACATTTGATGTGCCTGCACATAACACATCCTCTTAGAAGCTGTGGTGGGTTAGCCTTGGCCAGCAGTCAGAGAGCCCCCCATTCACTCCCCTCCCTCAACAGGACACAAAAGCTTAGGAGCCAAAATAGACTCAAAGACTGCTTATTGGTTACCATCAGGGGTAAAACAGAGTTAAATTTGGAAATTCAATTTAATTTATAGGCAATTAAAAACAGATAATGAGGAAGCTAAAAACAAAGACAAAAGTTCCTCTCTGCTGCTCCCTCCTCACTCTTTTCTCCTGCTCCAGCATAGTTTCTCCACATGCTGCTGAGGAATCTCTGCTCTGGAGCCTGGAGCACTGCCTCCTCCTCCTTCAGACCTTGGTGTTTGTACTGCTCTTTCACTCTCTTTCCCCTCCCCACACTTCTCTGTTTAGCATTTTTTGTACACTTGTAAATACTTTTTCTCTGAAGTGCCACTGTTTTGGCTGCTTAGCTCAGCTGTGTCCTGCAGTGGATCCAGAGTGGAGCCAACAGGAACTGTGTTCTCCTCTCTAGCCTTTTCTCAGAGAGGCTACCTCAGTGGCAGGGCTGCTACTGACACCATGACATCTACACTCAGCTGAAAAGTCTACCATGAAACAATCACTAGACTGAAAGGGAAAATAGGGGTGAAATATCCTTCACATCACCCCCTAGTGAGTCCAGAAATGTCAGTTACAAAGTGATGGATGCATGAAAACTGTCAACAGCATTAAATATTGGAAACCATACAGGTGCTTTTCCTTACAATGTTCAGGGAAGAATCGCTCAGGACTAAACTCCTCCAGGTCAGGGAAAATCTTGGTAGGGCACAGGTTATAACAGGAGTATTTGTACCATTCAATACTTTATATCCTTCACCTAGGAGAAAAGGGAAAGGAAGAAGGATCAAAACAGCAAATAGGTGGCTGTCTATAACTGCTTTACCATGAAATAAAAAAGAGAAAACCCCTACCCTTTACCTGGAAAACTTTCTCAGTACTCTGTCCTGCAGATATTCCAGCACCCATCCCAGCCACCTCTAGCTACTTAAAACCCCAGAGTGGCCACATGGTGCATTCCTATCTCAATTTCTTCAATCTTGACAAAGGAGGAATGGAAAACTTACCAAACACCTTGTCCAGATCTCTGTGAATCTTCTTCTATGCTTCAGGATTACATCCAAGTAAGCATAAGGCCATTGGAAGGGTGTGCAGAGATGAAGTTAGAAAAGCAAAACCTCAGCTCAAATGGAAATTTGCCAGAGATGTCAAAAACTACAAGAGTTCTTTAAGTACTATCATGGCTTAGACCACGATAAAGAACCATGCATACACCCCATCCCAGTGGAACAGAGTAGAATATCAGAAAAAAAGATAAAAACCATGGTTGAGATAAGAGAAGTTTAATGATTGAAATATAATAAAGTAAAATGAAAACAGGAAAAGAAGAGAGAGGAACAAAACCTAAGAAACACAAGCAATTACACAAAACAATTCCTTACCACGCACTGACCTTAGTCCACCCCTAAGCAGCAATAGGTCCCTCCCAGCCACCCCCCCCCCCAGTTCATGTACTGAGCAGGGCCTTCTGTGGTACGGAATATCCCTCTGACCAGGTGGGGTCAGCTGTCCTGGCCATGTTCTCTCACAGCTTCATGTGGAGCCTCTCACTG